AGAAATCGAGAATCGGGAGGGTTGGCAAGTATGACACACACACTACACACTACACACACACACACACTACACACACACACAACACACACACACACTACACACACACACACTACTACACACACACACACTACACTACGACACACACACACACACACACACACACACACACACACACACACACACAACACACACACACACACACACACAATGTTCGTATTTAGTCTCCTGATTTTAAATGCCCTAGTATGGTTTTGTCACCATTTCCATAGCCCCACCAAAAATATTTTCCACCAGCCGCCACTGTTGCTGATATATAGGTCATGTCATCGCTGTATGAACAACAAAGAGCTATTGATTTTTTTTTTTACCAGCAAGTGCGTAACCGCCAGGATTTATAGAAGCCCACTGCAGGCCTGAAGTCAGTCCAGTGGAAGACACATAAGCTACTCCTTCTCCAAGAAAACGACCCAAAGCCGCCCCTAGAGAACAGAAATGTAAATATAAAAAACACAAAAGAAGAGTTCCTCAATCTTCATATTTTACTGCAGGGTTTTCAAATTCTGGGGAGAGACTGCAGCAAGACATTATCAAATAAACTCCTCCCTTCACTCACCGTAGACAAACACTGGCATGAAGTATCCAGCTGGCAGAGGCAGAGTGCAGGCAAAGACCAACATCCACATCTCAGAAACAACAACAGAGACACACACTGTCAACTCTCTCCTCGCCATCTGAACTGCCACACAAGCTCTACTAGCACAGCAGATTAGTCACTGTCACTCTCAATCTGTGTGCAAGGAAATGTTTTCAGTGCTCTCAAATCAATCTCACACAAATAAACTGAATCATTCCCATTTAAATGTCACATCTGCGTCTGGTAATCAGGGTAAAATTGTAAGTAAATGGATCCCAATGAGAAATAAGGGACTGTTTTCAATAGAGGAATGTCCACTTATACCCTTTTTCCACCAAAATGAAGGTGTTAATGCAGTTTGTTACACAAGATTACCCGCTAAATCAGGCAATCAGGCAGTAGACTTCTTTCCCGTTGCCATTAGACGGCAGAGATGGCAAAAGTACACACATCCTTTACTCAAGTAGAAGTACAGATACTCGTGTTTAAAAACACTCTGGTAAAAGTAGGAGTACTGACTAAACTTCTTTACTTAAGTAAAAGTAAAAAAGTATGGGCTTCGAAATGTACTTAAGTAAAAAAATACCCATAACTACCAGCTGTTTCAACTGGTAACTGGACCTCACTTTATATTAAACATTGAAGATGTTCTATTTCAAATTGTAATTATGTCATTGTTAGCTAATGAATGTTTCAACACTGAACAACAACCATTTAGAACACAAGCAAAGAAAAACAAAGTGGGGAAATAAACGCCTACATTGTAGATTCTACAGTAGGGTGACTACCTCTTCCTTGGAAACAACAGAACAATTATTACCATAATGCTTTAAAAGTGAAGTGAGTTATAATTGTGTTTGTGAAGTAGCATTATAGCTAAAAACATCAGCGTAACAATAGTTTCCTGAACCACACATCGCCAGGAATCGCTTTTGATGCCGTTCATTTCAAACATCACCCGTATGGTCATCGGTGAGGGAGATTAATATCTCCGCTGCTCTCAGTATTATCGCCAACTTCATCACCGTTTTACGCTTCCTCCCTAACGTCCGCCATTCTCATTGGTCCCTCTTGTTTAGAGAAGACCAGGAAATTATGGATACACGGATCGTCTTAAAATCAATAGGCACGCAATGACTCTAAATAATAATGATCACACCACCAAACGCAGATTAAAACTAAAGTAACCAGCCTGTTTTGAGAATGTAAGAAGTAGAAAGAACAGGTATTTGTGTTAAAAATGTAATGAGTAAAAGTAAAAATTCGTCAGAAAAATAAGTAGTGGAGTAAAGTAATGATACCATAAAAAATGTACTTAAGTACAGTAACAAAGTATTTGTAGTCCACTACTTCCCACCTATTAGACGGTTGCTTATCATGCGTAAGCAACCGTATCATTAAAAAAATATACACTTTTTTTTAAATCTGATACTTATTCAGTCTCTATCAAACTCTCAAACCACAGTTGGTGATTCTTGAAAGAATAACAAAGACAGTTTCAATTAGCTTTAATTTGTGTGTTTTTTTATTACAAGCCAGGTAAAATGATTGTTTTTGTCAATGGAGTCTGTTGGCTATGTGGAGAGCTTGTCAATTATATGCTTTGTAAATGAATACATTATAATAATTGTTCTAATCCCTGTCGATTTTTTAAAATATCTATTAACACATATGCCTTTAATGCGTGTCATAGCATTTCACAGAATAAGGGGCAACAATGTGCAAGCAAGTCAACCCTGGTGTCATGTCACTGCTGATTGAAGCTTGAGCTTTTATAAACTGTGACTACTGTGCAGTGATTTGTCTGAGAAATGAATGCCAGTTGTACCATTGTAAACACAAAAGCCTGATGCTATTGGGTGTCTTTGTCTGGTTGTTATAGTAAATTGACCCAACTACGGTATAAGAATAAAAGAATGGCATTTATTTTCTAGTTTTGAGTACAAATTGAGAAAAATAGATGTTTGGTTGGTCTGGGTTCTTGATCAATACCAATGATTTGGCCATTACTTGGTCGGCTACTGAGATTTCTAGCTGCCATCTGCAGTGTTGCTATGAGCGAGCATCACATATCAGAAGGCATTTCCATCCTGAAAGGGTAAACGGTCTTTAGCTCGCTCTACTGTGAAAATGTCAATTAGTGTATGTCAATTAGGGGTCACTGTGTCTCGTCACGACTCCTGTTGATCAGTGCATGGTAGACTGAGATAAAGACACCTTGAATGGTTTTTCCATTGTAAGTACCTTCATTAGCAGAAAGACAGCCAGAGGTAGGAAGACAGGACTCCCTGACGAGCTCCACTCCAACAAAGCCTCGGGCCCCAGGTGAAGAGATGCATTGTGGGATTGAGAGCTCCACTGCCTGCTGTCCAGTAAGGAGGTCAGGAGCTGCTTCATGGTGTGCTGGGAAACAGATTACTGCCCTTCAGATTAATGTGTGAACGCACAACACACTCGAATGAGACAAAAGGTTAACATTAAAGGACTAACCTCGCATTTTTTAAAACACATTTTCAAAAGACAATATTGTTTATTTGTCCATCTCCCAATGCCACTTTCTATCTGTGGCCCTTATCCCATTCGTTCATGGGAACTTATTTGGATTATAATTTGTTTTGGGCAAATGTCACACTTTGTTGTGAACTATTTTCAGATGCGGATTAATACGCATTTGTTGTTCTAGTAGTACGTATTTATGGCAGCAGGAGAGTGTTTGAACTGTTGACTCAAATTAAAGTGTTGCAGTGTAATGAAGAAACCTAACACCTGTTGCAACAGCGTGGCTCAGTGATGGGTTTTCACAGTTTTTGAACAATTGACCTCTAAGGCGCATTAAAGTGTTGGTCTTTTTGTGGTATTTGTTATCAATAAGAACAAACTACAATAACTCCAGCCTTATCTGCTATCAGCTACCTTTCCCTGTAAATGCTGTTTATTAGTAATGTGTTTAATGATGATCAGTGGAGAAACACACCACACATCCAGTATTCATTGATTTTGTGTGTACATATGTACACAAATGGTGAACTGAGCCTTTATGAATGTTGTTGATTCCTACCTTAGAAGCCATATATTGACCAACAGAGTGGGGGAATGTCAGAGATGCCAGGAGGAAAGCCACTATGCCTGAGTATAGACCCTTCCTGCAGAGAGATGTTCATATACAGGGATTATTGTTGTAATGTTGCATTAATTTAGGTCATTATGGAAGCCCTATAAGGGGGAAGTGATAATACATATTCTCTGTCTGATTTGTTTATAAATCAGGTTAACAAAAAACAAAAAATGTGCATGTTGTTAGGATCATTTTTCCTGTTTGTCTTTGTAATACTCATTTTGGCCATAAGAGGCAGAAATGCACTGCTTTTTAGCAGGTTGCTAACATTAATTCTTGAGCACATGGTAGTGATGCACAATCATATTTAAACACTTTATCTATATAATACACATTTTAACAAGGTTACATAGCGCGTTCATGAAGAAAAGCTATCAAACGATAACATTTAGTAAAAATATAGGAAATGTCTAGAGTGAGATGATAAAACCCTACAACTTCACTCTTTTGTGGAAGAAATTAGTCTTACTAAAACATTTTGTTCACCTGTTTTCACAGATGAGAAATGTAATAAATAAGGAACCTGATCGACCTTGCGAAACATTGTATTTCAGGGGCGGAAACTATTTAGAAAATACTTGGCCCACCACAATGTTTATTCTTACCCGCTTCCAAAGTGAATTAGTCACAAGTTGAGGATTTTAGTCGAGACGTTTTAATTGGCAAACTGCTCGGTGTGGTCACAGCCGAAAACAACATTGCTAACCAGCTCTGTTTTTCTTCAGATCTATGCTTTGAAAGGTTTCAGTGTTTTACACTAGATAAAATCACTAGGTAAACCTTTTAAATGTGGCTTGAAAGGCCCTGTCATTTATCATCAAGCCTTATAAAGTTGTGTATACAGTTGCATAACAGATGGTGAATGGATTTGGGTTGTAAAGCAGTCAGATTTTTGCTACAAAAAAAAAACTGTGCTTCTGGGACACTGGCCAATCAAATCGCTTAAATAGCTAATTACTATAAAAAAGCTCTTACTCTGTGGTTAGCATCTTGTTGAACATTGGGTTTGTTTTAGTGAATTGCAGCATCCAAATCGCTTAAATAGCTAATTACTATAAAAAAGCTCTTACTCTGTGGTTAGCATCTTGTTGAACATTGGGTTTGTTTTAGTGAATTGCAGCATCCAACGATGGCAGGCGAGGTAGCAGCAGCTCACAGCTCCACACAGCAGCCTGGGACAGAAAGCAGACTCAGCGGGACACAAGAGGCTTATTGTAACCCAGGCAGCAAGTCACTATCGGAAGTCATTAGACTTGGACTTGATGAGGGGGAAGCCAGGAAATGATTGGTAACAGAAAATAAGTACTGATTAGACTCGGAAGAAACACAGCAGAACCAGTCAAATCGTTTTGATGATGTGTGATGTAAATACGGATGCCAAATATCAATTTATATGTCTGACACACGGAAAAACATAGGAGTAGTTTAAATATTCAGATGCTCTCGAAAATAAACTCACCCAAGAAAGGCAAATAGTAGAATCTCCAGCGAGTAGAAGGGAATAGCAGCGGGGAAATTTGTTTTAAACAATGCCTGAGGACTCTCTGTGGACAAAGAAACAAATTGAAATCATCCCTCCAATCTCTTCCAAATGTAATCATCCCTCTCTTTATTGCATCGAGATTTTTATTGAAATTCATGGTCTGTCAGCTTAAGTGTTTTGCTGATTTTGCCAAAGCTAATGTTTCCACTCATTATAATGACAATTAATTAGATCACTGACAACATCACTGACATTACCAAAGCACAACATTAACTCTGAAAAAAAAGTATTGTGTTAGCTGCCCTCAAATGGGACTAATGGGAGAAAGAAATGTTGCTTTTTAATTTAACCATGCTTATTGGCAAACATTTATACAGATTAAAAATTAACCAGAGTTATGTTTGTTAGGATTGTCGCTTGATTGAGTGGTAGAGTCCGCTTAGTGAAATTTCGCTTTCGGTGCAGTGACCACATTCATAATGTAGGCTATATTAGACTAGACCTACAAAATGTGTAGTTTGCCTAAAGTTCCATGTATAAACATAGCTTCCAATGGTAATGCAATACTTAGTTATTAACATAATACATAGCCGTAGCTAATTAGCTAGCTGTAAGGCGCCACACAGTGAATTGGTAGAGGTAAATTAGCTTAGTTAGCTCAGTAAGCTAGCTCAGTTTAGTACATGAGGATTCATTGGTACCAGTCCAGACTACATCCTCAATGTTGTGTAAGTTGCTTTTTAAAGAATGATCTGTGCTAATATGTTGAGTTAATGTTGAGATAACGCGTATTTTAAGACTGTGTAGTTTATCCAGGGTTTTGGTATTGACTATCAGCTGATAAGAAACGTTTAACCAAGGTCTTGTTATGTTATTGTGGCTTCTTTTCCTCCGGTCAAGTCGTCAGTGAAGCTTCTCCCTGTTCACCATGAGGGGGCGAGTGCTGATCACAGCCTCCATTACCTTCATCTCCACTCCACACGGAGAATAGGCGGAAGGTCAGCGCCCCACAGGCGGCGGAGAAGAAGCACGGGTAGTAATGCCTCAGGGCGAAGTGAGAACACATCACCTCCACGCTGAATAACACACCTGCAGGAGCAGAGGAGCGTGGGGACAGTAAATATTAGAGTGAAAATCATAATTTAGCCTGCATGTGTGGCAACAAAAAATATGTTAAAAGGAAAAATAAATATATTCAATGTGTTAATATATATTCAATGTGTTAATTGATAGCACTGGTGGAAGAAGTATTCCGAGTTGATATAATAACTAACTGTCAAATATTGTCATAAGCAAATTACCTTTATCGTATAATCAGTAAAATGTAGTTAAAATATTAAATGTACTTAATACAGAAAAATCTAAATAAAAAATGATACAAAATAGCTAATAACTGTTGGCTAGTTTAATTTACAACACAATATTATATTTTAGTATTTAACTTCTGTGATTTTTATGCAATATCTTTATTTGGCGTAAAATAAACGTAGTAAATAAAAAGTTTAATATTTTCCTCTGAGTAATATATAGTTATATAAAGAAAATACTCAAGTAAAGTACCTCAAAGTACAGTACTTGAGAAAATGCACTTGGTTACATTTCACCACTGATACATAGTCTGATGTTTTACTTTAGTTATGATGCCATTTTGAATGTTTCTTACAGTGTGAGTACAAATGGAGTTTGAAGCTGAGGTGCTGTACCCCCTACAAGGTTTACCTAAATAAAACGGTGAATTGTGAGTATTAAAATGTTAGGCAGCAGGGGATCAAAGGAGAAGGAGGTGAGGGAAAATGATTAATATAATAACATGGCAATTATGTGAAGCAAAAAGGAAATAAAAGGTGGAATAGCACAAATCAGCCAGGTGTCAAGACAGATATAGCTTGAGCAGGTAAAAATCCTTGTTGTCTTTCACCGGTAATGGGGGCTCCAAAGCAGCTGGCTACACCCACTGCAGCAGCTACAACCAGCATTTCTCCACCAGCTTTTTCCTAAAAGAGAAATGTAGTATAATAAAAAAAAGAATTCTGACCTTTTCAATCCTACACAAAGTAACATTTAGGATTTTCATCAATTAACATAATGACATCACTATGTAAAAGTAATGCTTCTATTGGCCAGCACTCCAACACATTATACATGATATGCAAAGGGTTGGGACATCTCTAAGCAACCATGACATACATTACATTACATTTAGCTGACGCTTTTATCCAAAGCGACTTACAATAAGTGCATTCGACCAACAAGATACAAACTTGAAGAAAACAGAATCATATAAGTACATCAGGTTTCATAGAGCTAAAACATTTCAAGTGCTACTCAACTGGCTTTAGATAAGCAAGTCCTTTATTAGTATATAAGTGCTTTGTTAGCAATTCTTTATTAGTAATTCTATCGCTCGAAGTGGAGTCGAAAGAGATGAGTTTTCAGTCTGCCCCGGAAGATGTGCAAGCTGTCTGCTGTCCTGATTTCAATGGGGAGCTCATTCCACCATTTTGGAGCCAGGATAGCAAACCCACGTGTTTTTGCTGATGGGAACTTGGGTCCCCCTCGCAGTGCGGGTGCAGCGAGTCATTTGGCTGATGCAGAGCGGAGTGCACGTGCTGGGGTGTATAGTTTAACCATGACCAAACACAACAGCTAACTAATCAGTCACTGTAGAAGCGCAAAAAAGAAATGTGATACCTGAACATTTGCATAACAGAGTCCCTTTAACTTCACACATTTTCAAAGGACAGGTTCTACAGTTTCTATTTCTATCAAATATATGTATTTATTTTATGAAGATCTAAAACAATATTTAACTTCACATTCACTCATGTAGGCTATTCTTTCAGTAGAAATGCGTACAAATACATACATCTTTGCTTCTTCTCAAAGCTATTCATTTTCCTTTTAGCCACTTGGGGGTAACCTGAAATCATCACTATTGTAATGGTCAGCAAGTACAAACATGAAGAAACATTGTAATTATAACAAAATGAAATAGCTGGGATTAACTGGGTTTAAGAATGCTAAAAACCATGAGCTAAAGGGCACTAAAAACGATGTGGATAAAGGCTTCATTTTTGAATAACTTTGCTTTTACCTTGTTATTGGCTTGTATGAGATTGCAGAGATTGCTCAGGTAGGCTCCAATCATAGCGGAGAGATGCACAAATGGACCCTGATATTAAGAGGCAAATATTAAGAACTTTGTTTATATCACAATTCATTCCATTTTAAAGAATGGTTGCTTGCTTTGTAAGACAAACATGTACACTGTCTCGTCTCTCACCACTTTGCCCAGGAAAACAGTGCTGCCAGCTGCCAGCGTGCAGATAAGGCCCAGGAACTTGGTAGACATGTTAGTGAGAGACAAGTAGTGAGGCATTTTGAAGCCAGCCAGCATGGTCCTAACCTCAGGTATCCCCGAGCCTGAGGGGAAATAAGGTAACAGGCCAATATTTTAAAAATAGTTTTATTGGTTAAAAGAGGTAATAAAGCAATCAGTAAGTGGGCTGCAAGGACAATCAGCAAAAAGTAAGACGAACATAAAGCTTAATCTATTTGTTATTGGTAAAGTTAGGTTTTCATAGCTACTACTACACAATGTTTTTAGTTTCTAGAATCTAAACTTTCTAGAAGTTCAGTCCCATAAATCAAGCACATTTGCCCTTTAACAATACATCTGACAGCTTTTCTCCTTGGCAATAATAGAGCAATGTCTGCATGTCCAAATACTTAATGGTAAGAGGCCATAAACATGAAGCCAACGAGGTAAATGTCTTAAAATGGGGTGCTTGAGGCAAAAGCATTGAGGCAGGTTTAAATGCCCCCTAAATGTAGATTGATTTAAATGTATAATTCATCATCATATCGCACCATGCCCTTTCTGGCACTGTCTTCAAACACAGGATACACAAACAATTAAACCACCAGGATAGAGATCTCTGCGTCCTGGAAATAATCGTTTTTAATGGTTGTTTGTGAGAATGTTAACTATTCATATAATACATCCCCTTTTACCCCTCAAAGATATATCACCCTTTTCCTCTGTGCCATTTACTTTCGATAGAAAAGAAAGATGTCTCTAAAAGGAACATTCTAGATATAGGCTACAGTGCATTTCTGTCCTTGATCTCATCTTTTTCAAGTATCCTTGTGCAGCACTTAAGATGAAAATCCACTTCATGATACTCTTTCTTCTTTGAGCTTTAGAATGTCATGTGAGATAACTAATTATAATATCTGCTTTTCTTTGTTCAGCATCTACCCTATGCATGACACAAAAGAGTTCCCTGTATATTTTCTTATCACAATTGGTTTCGAATGGTTTCGAATCAAAAAGGTTACGGAAAATCCCCATTTAGGAGCAGAAGTGCATTTGCACACTGAAGTCGTATAATAAACAACATTAAAATGGGAAAAATCGAATCAAATCAAACTCACCAGTGTGTAAAGTCCTCTATTCTAATATTTAACGCTGCTATAAATGTGTAGCTGTTTTTTGGGTAGTGGAAACCACTACTATTCAAAGGTAATACTTTTACATTACATTACATTTAGCTGACGCTTTTATCCAAAGCGACTTACAATAAGTACATTCGACCAGGAAGATACAACCTTGAAGAAAACAGAATCATATAAGTACATCAGGTTTCATAGAGCCAAACCTTTCAAGTGCTACTCAACTGGCTTTAGATAAGCCAGTCCTTTATTAGTATATAAGTGCTTTGTTAGTAATTCTATCGCTCGAAGTGGAGTCGAAAGAGATGAGTTTTCAGTCTGCGCCGGAAGATGTGCAAGCTATCTGCTGTCCTGATTTCAATGGGGAGCTCATTCCACCATTTTGGAGCCAGGATAGCAAACCCACGTGTTTTTGCTTATGGGAACTTGGGTCCCCCTCGCAGTGCGGGTGCAGCGAGCTGTTTGGCTGATGCAGAGTGGAGTGCACGTGCTGGGGTGTACGGTTTAACCATGTCCTGGATGTAGGAAGGGCCAGATCCATTCACAGCATGGTACGCAAGTACCAGTGTCTTGAAGTGGATTCTAGCAATTACCGGAAGCCAGTGAAGGGAGCGGAGGAGCGGCGTGGTGTGGGAGAATTTAGGAAGGTTGAAGACC